GCTGACCGGTATTGTATTTGTATTGGGTATACGCGTATATTGTAATTAGCTGAGGAAGATTGTGAGCATAATACGGGATGAAAATAAACACAAGGGTGCAACACAAAAGCAGTCTAAGCAATAATGTAAAATTAAGCTTCTCTAGCCTCTGTGTCAAAGTGAGAAGCCCGAGGTAAACACTCCCAACACCCAAAAGTAACAATAAATGCCTCTTTGGAACACAAGGCATTGAGCAACTTGAGGCCCATTGAAACCTGAACCATCAAAAGTTAATTGAGCCGTAAGTAACAAATCAGCAGTTCTTTCAGCACATGAGAGCATAAAATTTAGTCTCAGAAAAACACAATTCCACATCAGAAGCCTTGCAGATGACTTGCAAATATCAGAATTGTATTTGCCTGCCAGATCTCTGTCAGATTGTACATCCGGCAGCCATTTAGATTAAACAAGGAAAATCCAGTTTAATATGTCCCTAAGCTCCTATCTCTGTAAAATGTCATTTGTCATATCAACAGATCTACAGTAATTACATTTTTCCTGGTTGTAGAAGAAATGATGCCTTTTGATGAAATTTGTCTATCCTCAGCTGCCCCCTCTCCGTCCCACGTTTTTTTAGGCAACTATTTGTGTGAGCTACGGTATCTGTTATTCTTATTGTAAATACCCATTATTCACACTAAAATATAACCACACAATTTAATTTGAACACAAAATTTAATTTTGTGGCAAAAATGTGGGCAGGATTTGTTTAATTTGTATAAAGATATGGTTGTCTAATTACTGCAATAGCAGCAGGCAATTGGGAAATATTTGTACTGTTTGTCTGTAAAAAGCACATATCTCATGAAACACGGGTCATTCTATCCGATGTGAGAGGTCATATTAGTGAGACCCTCTGCTTATTGTAGAATATGAGGGAGAGTGGGTCTCAGTTTTCAGTCAAGGGTTGGCTTTAAATCTTCATACAGTATGTGGACTTCCAATGCAGCTACATGCAGTGAGACACAACTGGTCCCGAGTGAGGTCATTATGTCTGGGGATAACGTTATAAGACATGCAGCTGTGGTTATGGCTCACTCTCTGAGGTGGACACTCAAAACAAGAAGTGTTGATAGGCATGCGGTGAGTGAGGAAACGATTGCGGGAACTGTTTTTGATATATATGTAGTACATGCCCTCTATGTCCCTAAGGTTTGAAAAATATGTATATGTATGGCAAACATGTTTTGTCATTTTGTACAAAGCTTAGGTTTGCATGAACAAACTGGTATGTTTCCATGAATGAATTCATTTTAATTCCCATGGGCTTCCGTAAGGGAGTGGTGTAATGTTTCTTTGGCTTTTGTAAGTAGAGCCATATTGAGCCTTGACAGAGTCATTTGAGAATAAGGAACATATGGAATCATATAGCCTAATCTCACAGACATGCTTGAATCGGCCACTGCTTCACTGCCTAGTGCCTATGTGCATGTTTTGTAGACAAGACACGTTAAAATGAAGTATATCAAGACCCTTTGTTCAACAGTAGATGCAACTATTAAAAGCAATTTTGTGGTGTTTGTATATACTGTACATATCTTGAATTACATGACACATGAATAAGGTTTAATTGAGTTCGACAACGTTAGAATGGTCATTGCTGGTGGGAGGCTTCAAACTGACTGAACTCATGCTCTTAAAATGAACCGCAATTTTTTTTCAAACTATTATCTTTTTGTACTTATTGTGTTCATATGATTAATGTGTAGTTGTAATTTAAGAAAAAAACTATTTGATGAAATGATTGCTCAAAATTTTATGTTTATGTTTTTGCCCACCAAAAAAGATGAAATGTTTTCTCATTAGAAGAATGATAAAAGTCTCGGTCTTCCAAATTTGTTGTTCTTGAGTCGGTGATATGCCAATTATACATGATGTTAACTTTAACATTTATTCCATCAAAATTATCTAAATTTGACCAAAGCTTCAGAACTAGAACCATTGTCATGTGACCTCAATGCAAACTAAGTAGTAAAAGAATTAACTTTGCGTTCTGCTTCTTCTTGGACTTTTTGCATTTTTTTTTTAAATTCTAAAAGATGACCTGTACTGATGCATGTTGTAATGCAAGACATTAACATTTCATGAGAAACCTCAGTACACTTCTGTCTAGTTCGTTATGCCTTTTTTATAAACTTTTTCCTAAAGAAGGTATCAGCCACAACAAGGAGTAGCAGCAGTAAACAGTTTGACCAACATCATAATTTACATAATTACCACCCCCGCAATGACTTTCTTTGCCAATGGCTTGGCAGCTAGGCCAGACGAAGAAACGCCGCTTTCAAGTAACGGACTGAGCCAGAGCCACCGAAACACTGTGAAAGCCAAAAAGAAAGCAAAATTGCATTAAATTTTGATGCACAATAAAGCGTTAGCTTCTGAGAAGTGGTGCATACTTGATTGCTTGGTGAGGTTATCAAAACATTTGTGTTTAGCAATCTGCTGCATGTGCCAGATAGTGTAATATGGTATCTTGGTGAGGAAGTGCTGCCTCCATAAGATAAAATACAATCCATGCTGTGCTTGTCGGGGCTCGCTTGCACTGTATGTGTAGTTGTTTTTTGTTTTTTTAATATGTGGCTAGCTCCGTCCCGACATGAGAACAAAATCCGCATTAGGCATTGGTCGAGCAGTATTTGTAGTGCGGGCTTAGCGTTGGCTCATTTATATGAGACAGTGCTGCCCCTTCAAAAAAGGTTTACGAGGAAATCAAAGTACAAAAGAAAGCTCATCGGTGCAGGTAGATTACATACTGAGCCTGATCTGCACTTTACCTCTCCTGTTCACCTGTCACCATCTGTCTTGGCCTTTTTTTTTATGAGGTCACCAAAGTAATGCCTTTTTCGACAAAATCAAAACCTGTTTTTCATATCTACTCATTTTTGACCCCATTAATCTTCTTTGCTCATGAAGTATGTCTTAAGTAGGTTTTTCCATTTATTTATTTATTTCATACTGCCGCTTTGAGGGAGGAGAACAAGACATGCAGGAGGTGTCAGTGATTTTACCCGAGTATTAATGTTTAACTACAGAGCCCAAAGGCTCTCCCTCCACCTTCCTCCACCTCCTCGAATCCACCTCCATCTGAACAAGTCCGACAGCGCTAATAAATCTCAGATGGTGCCAGGTTCTAATCAACATTCAAGCTGAGTGGCGTGAGAAAGCGTGTGTGCCTCCAGGAGCCCTGATAACATTTTCTCTGGGAACTAATCTTGGTCAGCCCAGTGCCATGCAATGCATGACTGACCCTTACGGGAATGGCATGACCTCATTGCTCTCTTACAGTGACATCAACCAAGACTGCAAGGTCACCAACTACACAGTGTTGAATTAAGTGTCGTACCTGCCATGACACAAGGTTCGTGACACCATCAGCCTAGAAAGTAAATTCAGTCCTGACGTCAATCTGATAAGGAAAATTCACTGCAACCAAAACCTATGCACCCTGCAAGTGACAACCCACCAAACCGTAACCATAGCAACCAGAAAGGCTTCAGAGAAAGCTGATGCATCTCTGCCGTAGACACATTCATTCGGCTTGTTTTTTCATGAAGTTGCCAGGTGCTTATCAACTCCCTGACAATAAACAATGAGGTCGAGCTGCAAATGACAAATGTTACACTTCTTTACTGGTGCCATGAGAGAATATCCGAGGTGGAATTTGTGGAGACAATAATGAGCAACCTGAACAAGCCACTTGAAAGGTCTGTCCTCCAGGCAGGTTGCACGTCCATCAGATTCCACATACATGTTACTCCAGAAATAGTTGTAAAACAGTGTGAGCATAACAACTCTCTCTGGACAATTTCACAGCCAAAATACATGCCAAATGCAGATCAGCTAAATGTAAATCATTTGATCACAGAGTATTAAATACTTCAATATCCCTGCAAAGGAAATTAAGTGATGCGAGCTAAATTTGAAAGTACTGGCCCAATCTTACTTTTGAAATTTAAAAGCATATTTATATGATGACAGAGTTGTGTTGTTGGCATACACAAGTAAGCTGCCTATGGGGGGGTCATGTCAACAGTAAAGTACAAACGTTGAACAGGGCTGGTAAACATCTGAGAAGATTTAAAGGCTTCTTCCACATTGTATGCTCAAACAAATATCGTGAAAATCATCACCGGGATCATGCCAGATAATTGGAGCATAAACATTTATCCCATCTAGGAAAATGATGCCAAGCAAAGCTGAATTGTTTAAATTTGCTGTCTACAATTAATAAATCACTTCAAAACAAAATAATCCTTTTTTTTTGTATCGATGGATTGAGCAGAAATATATTATCTGTTGAAATGATACGTGAAAATGTTTTCAATATGCTCATTTTAATGACCGCAAAGGATAAAAAATAAACATTGTTTTTTGTCAGTGAAGCCCAGCTGTGGCATTTCCATCCATGGAAGCAGCCATATACAGTACTGTAAGATATTCATTTTTGTGGTGAATTTCAATCTCTTTCTGTGGAAACTGGCACAGTCTTCAAAGTAGTGAGGAAAGTGTTGTTCATAACAGAAAGTTACTGGTCCCCTCAGAGTACCATAAGGCTGCAGGACAAATGGGTATAATCAGTTCACCCTCTGGAAGCCATATGCTTCTTGAGGGAAAGGCAAAGAAGGCTCATGGAAATTATCACAGGTTTTGTTCTTTGTGCTAGCAAAATACCAAGTTGCAATAGTGTATGTTCATGGTGGACATTCATTTTTTTCCTCGAGCAACCCCAGAAATAGAACTACTACATTTCACATAGGGACATCCATCTACTGCAACCACAGACAAATCATAGCCTTTTGATAAGGTGTGTGTCCCACACCCTACATCTGTATCTGCCATTCTGGAAAAACCTAAACACGGCAGTTTCCCAGTATGACTGACTCACCCAGTTAATGGAACGTCAAGACATGAGTCAACAACAAGGAAAGTAGGACAGTCGCTGTATTGTGTTCGATTCTCACCAAGATGTGGGTAAGAACGATCTTGATGAGAGGTGCCCCGGAGAGGTTGACTGACAAGGCCGGTGATGGCTCCACGTTCAGAGAGATTAAGCAGCTTGCTACCTGGATTTTATGATCCTTATAATTAGCAGCTTCATGAATCCTATAAGAGACAGAAAAATGGCTTCAGTGAAGAAAGTGGACAGTAAAAAGGTCTAAGAAATTGATATAATTACGAGGACAGAATACAAATGAATGGAATATCCCAGTTCATTTAAGTCATCATCCTTTTAAAGGAGCCAGGTAATTTTTGTTATTATTACTGTCATTATTATTATTATTCTTATATTTCTCGAGCCCATGACATTGGATGTATGTGTGTGTGTGTGTGTGTGTGTGTGTGTGTGTGTGTGTGTGTAAAATTTGGGGGCTGGAAAAAAATCAGCTCAGATGAAACGATGAGATTGACAAGGAGAAAATAAATGAAGAAACAGATCCCATTCCAAGGGCCATTCTGAAGCCACCAATCTTCCACACTTATTCAATAGCCTGAACTCCTTTTACATTAAGTGCTATAACTATTGAATGCCTGGTAAAAAAGATCCACTCACAAATGTTATACAGCAGCAAACAACAGAAAAATGTATATTCAAGCAATACATCTTTGCTCTTCAAGGGGTGGAGTCATATTCAAAACAGTATCCTCCCTCTACATATTATTCCTTTACATTTGTCAAAATAAATGTATTAATATGTACGTGGGGGTGGGAGTGGGGGAAAGTGAATGTTTGCCACATTCAGTAAAAATTAAACAATCCACTTCACCACCAGTTGGCATGTGGTGAGACAAGGTTTGGATTGGCGTGATGGAGCTGTAGAGGTAATAGCAGGGTGTATCAGTCAGTGGAGCTTGAGTGGTGAGATGGAAGATAGGCAAAAGGACAGATAAGACACTGACTCCAGGCATGAGCTGTTCAGGAAACATCGGCGCCTTGGAGTCAGTGGACCTGATTTCCCCCACAGGGGAAGTACAAAGCTGACAGCTTGAATGGCTGCAATAATCAACAGGAACATTCGTGTTGTTTGAACAAATTTGCACGCCATGTTACCTGGTCTTGACAGGGCTGATTTCCTTGTAGTAGCTGTGTATGTTATGGTAAAAAAGGCCAACGATGGTGGTTTGAGCTAATGGGAAGAAAATAGGACACAGTTGAATAAATGAGGGCGGAGAATGTAAAGCAGTGCTGCTAAAATGCTCACGAAGAAGAGAAGTTAATTAACACCGCCTTGCTGCCGTATACTGACACTGGCCTCCAAATAGAACATTTGAATTTGCACAGTGGTGAAATGGGGAGGTCTGCAAGCCATGTAGTTGTTGGGAAATCTTGTGAAAGCTGAACATGACTTCAGCAGTAGAGCAGGGGGTCGAGTCACCCTCCCCTAATCTGACATATCGTCCACAATGGTCCCACCTTAAAGCTGTAAGATAAACAATGGCACTGCAGGAAGTCCTTAATGTTCCTTTTCCTCTTTTCAAAGCCTTTTAACCCTGTCTCACCAACTTTGGTTCACATCGAACCCATATCCAGCATATTTGCTGCAGGATTATTTATTTCACTGTGAATTTCATAAACCATCCCAAACGTCCTTGCAGGTCAACACAATTTGTGCAACCGCCAAGTGGAGGCAGAGGAAAGTGACCTGTGCATAACATCCAACATGCTTAGAAGCACATTGTAATGGCTGTTCTAAATTTCTCATTCTTTTTAACGACAGAGGAAAGTGGAGAAAATATGCTGCCTCTTTTTCTTTCCGTTTTGAATGCAAGAGTAATTACTAGCCTTGAAGTCAGAGCTGGAGTTCTACAGTACACTGTAAAGCCAAACAATGGCAATCCTTGACACTCTAAGCCATAGCATGTCACTAGTTTTAAATCTTAACCGAGTAAATTAGAGGCAAATAACAGCGGTGAAGGATTGAGTGCGTGACACATTCCGACGCAACCACAAGAAGCCGTGACTTTCACATAAAAGATCACTTACACTGCATGGTGAACGCCTCCCCGGGTACAGATATGTAGTTCTTTCCCTGTATGGGGAAGCGGTAATGTGGCAAATTGTAGTTCTGGGGAAATTTCATCAAAGAATAATCTGTGAATCAGCAATGACAAAACAGGGGCCCGTGAGAGCAAGTAGTGGCAAACATGCTTGTGGCAAATTATATCCACAAGATAATAAGACCCACTCTGGTGAAAGTAAGGTGGAGAGCTACAGTATTTTTTTGACCTGCCTTTGCTTGTTGAATAATCAAACCAATGATGTCATCTTGATGCTCCATGTCCCTTTGTCTTAACTGTCTTACCACACAAACTACAAACAATGAGTCACTTTTGGGACGGTTCACATGGTACGGACCTGCAACGAATGATGTTCCTCCCAGGGAGATGAGGGAGTTCGGGCTGGGCTCCAAGTTAGCCACCATGTGGTCCATTACTCGGTCCACTGTTTCGATTAAACCGCTGACCACAGGGCCGAATTGCTGCATCACATAAATTTGCATCATTTTACAACCTCTCACTGTTCAGCATTAGATCATGTCAATCAATGTATGCAACTATTTCAGGGTTTTATGCGGTATATGAGAATAATGTGGCCAAAGCCTACAAATGACCATATGTGTGTGTGTGTGTGTGTGTGTGTGTGTGTGTGTGTGTGTGTGTGTGTGTGTGTGTGTGTGTGTGTGTGTGTGTGTGTGCGTTTTGGGGCTGGTGGGGGCTAGCATTTTACATCCAGTAAGTGAGGTCTTCAAATACAATTGTTTGGTTGTTCGATTTTTTTTTCCACATACATGCTAACAACCTCAACGATTTGTATTTAATCACATACCATATACAAATGCTAATTATCTTGCAGAATGAAATCTTGAGAAAGACACGTGAGAGCGCAATTCCAGCCTTCATGCATCTGGGAAAAAGTTGGTGAGTTGTGTTTGTTGTGGCCAATATCCAGTATGTGTCATGTGTATAAGAATAATAGCGTGTGAGTGAAATTTGCAAACAAATTCTACCTTGTGTGTACTGTTAGTCCTCAATATGAACACGATTTCGTTTGTCACATCTACATAGACAGTGAAAATGCCCTGTATGCCATCTTTACATTAAGAGCTACCAGTGACGTTTCTCAAAGTGCATAGGACAGACCGGAGAAGGTAAAGGTATTTATTGAAGACTCTCTTTTGCGATCCCTGTGTGAACATCTGTTTCAGTTTGCAGAAACCAAAACAAGCACGTTTATTTTGAACACTCAATGTTCTGAAACCACACACTTTCCTCGGGCACTATTATGTTTGGATGTGAAATGACCTTTGAGCCAGGAATTATAGCACATGAAGCCACACATCTACGGTACATTACATCTACGTGGAGGTGTTTTATACAAACAAGTGCTATTTTTGACTGTCTGTATACTGTATTATAGCCTTATTATGCCAGTCATAAATCTTTCAAAATATCCTTGAATTTGTATTTATCACATTGCTCTTTTGTTTGGTGATTTCATGTTTGCACAGTGTGAACTCATTTACCTCTGGTAATCCAGGAGAGGACAGCACTTCTTCCACATTTTTGAGAAAAGCCTGGGTGCAGTGAAATGAATGAGTAACTTGCATCGTTGGTTCATGACCGGACGAACTGTGTGTTGCGTTGGACTATTTCGAGACCTGCGTGAGGTTGCTGGCTGTGTTATGAGGAATGGTCCTATTGGGCAGAGCCTTCAGAAAGGCCAAAACTGGCATCGACTCCGGATCTTGGAAGCTTAGGACCTCCTCATGCGTACTGCTGACGACAGGAGGACTCACTTCAACGGCTCTCTGAGGAAACAACCAACACCACATTTACTGATACTATCATAAGGCCCCAATCCATCTGTGTGGCTCCCATACCAAATGGCCCACGGCCGATCGGTAGTTAGGGCCATTGGTTTTGAACCAAGTTTGATATTCTTGGGCAATAATTCCAAAATGTCCACCTGACAGTTTTGAGATTCAGGGTTCGAATCTTTGCTCTGGCCTTTCTGCCTTCCCGTGTGGATTTTGCATGCTCTCTCCCATAAATCTGCCTCTTGTGAAGGTATTCCAACTTCACATGCTTTACATGCATGCTGCTACATTAACTGAAGGGTATGAATTGTCCTTCGGTGTGACTGTGAGTGTGAAGTGTTGTTTGCCCAGTCTCAGGCCAGCTGGGAAAATTTCCCCCTCAACCCTGACCAGAATGAGGACAAGCACTAAAAAAATGGATGGATGGATGATTGGAACAAACCGCAATCAAAATATTTGCAGCACACCAGTGGCATTATTTCCAGTTCAAAATCGTCCAACAGATGAATGGCTTCAAAGAAGAGAACATTTTACAGCCAGAGCCCAGACCTAAATCTGTGAGGTGAGATGGCTCCAAGACCCACTTTTTTTTTTTTTAAACAAATCTTGGTCTCATTTTTAAGGGAAACGTGACATTTTAGAGTACACAAATTAACTCATGACTCACACAGTAAATCTGTATGTTTGGTGTAATTTAACCCGTAACAAAATAGCACTGGCGTGTGGTGTTGATGCCAAACCCAATAAAGTAGAACATGATGACCTTACCACTGTTGTCGTTGTGAAAGGTGGTTCTTTGAAGGCACTCGGGGTTGTGGCAGACACTATAGCATGACCTGGAGAATTCAGCACAACAATTAAAACCATCATATTTGTTAGTATTTAACCTGACCAGACAACCACTTGCAAGGTAAACAGATTTCGTCTCGCAGGCAGCAGCAGAAACTGGCATACACTCTATCACGAAAGAAAGATTACAATATTCACAACAGCAGTAAAATATTCTGACTGCTTCTCTGCAAGCCCGAGACACATTTTATGTCTTTGTTGTTTAATAAAAACACCTCCTCGAGAATGCCTAAATATGGATGCGCTTATTAGTCTGAGCCATTCCTGGATGCTCTCCATTGGTTCAATGCAACATTTTATATGTGTGCTCAGGGGAAGTAAAATATAGTTTTGTAACTGTAATGTTCTGGCTGTTCGAGTAATGATGTGTGAAATATTTTTAGAACATACTGTGATCAAAGGATGCATTTCACACATTGGACCCAATTGAGAGTCGAGCGCCTTGCCTCAAATTCATCCATTGTTTTAAACATCAGTCACATATTAGGTCTTAAAACTGATACATGCCAAAAGTGTATCTACAAATTGCTCTATTCCATTGGAATGATGTTGAAGAGCCATTCTGCTGTGTTATGAAAATAAAATGAAATGACCTTCACTCATGCAATCCACCATACTTAAGCACCATATGAAAGTCACACTTATAAGGCAGAACTATGTGCGCTCTGGCACTTATCTTGACAATGACAGCAACAGCTACTGGCAGAGAAGTGGGATTTTGAGGGGTTTTTTTTTGGATTGTGCTGTTCTACACAATGTATTTGAGATAAACCATTCAATGCGTGACTGATGTTCTTCTCAAGAGATTTCACAGAAATATGTTTGAGTTTGTTTCAAACAATCAGATTCCTGAACACGAGAGGCTTTTTTGTAAAGATGTTTTCTCGCAAGTTTAATTTGAATTTCCTGTTTTCAAATGTTTCCATAAACCCTCTATATTTACATTCCAGAAGTTCTCTCATGACTGTAAATTTTGACACTGAAGCGCCGACCTATTCCAGTTGACTTTTGTTGCTGGGATTTGGCAAAGGCAACAATTAAAAATGATGGCAATCGTTGCGATTGTTACAATGTTAGAGCTGAGGTGTCCTAAGTGTAGCCTGTGGGGCATTTGAGGGAAGGCGACACAAATAATAATTGACACAGCTGCGAATAGCATTCAGTGTGTGTGTGTGTGTGTGTGTGGGGGGGGGGGTCTTATGGTTATGAAAGTAAGGGTTTGCAAAAAAAAAAAAAAAAAATCCATAAAATATATATATAATTTCCTGCTGTATTGGTTTTAGCATGGTTGAGTTGAAGAATCTCAATGGCCCTTGCTTCCTTTTTAGGGATGCAACAATCAAAGGAAAATTGTATATTGTATCTTGATGATGGTACACAAACAAAATTATGTTTTCCATTGACATGTGTTGTCCTTACCTATAGCAGCACTGTAGTAGAGAGAGATCTCACTGGGCAGAAGAGCTCTTTCCCAAATGACAAACTCATCAAAGGCCCCTGTTACATAGTGGCCATAGGCCTTATCATTGCCAGTTCCAATGACGAGGTCAGGGTAAGGGTCACCATAGTTTTCGGAAACACTGCCAGTTTCGTCGACAGCAGTCAAGGTGCCATTTATGTACACCTTCAGACCTGCTGTCTTTTTCCATGTGAAGAGAATATGGGTCCAATAAGGCCCTGAGAGACAAAAACATAATGGCATGAAGCATCGCTCTTCTAGAATTCTCCAATATTCATCCTTTCAGCTGGTGTATTTGTCAGACTGCTACATTAGACAGCTCACAAGGCAACATTAAATCATTATTGGGACATCCACCTCACAGTGCAGAGGTGCAGGTTTCCATTCCGGCTCCGGCCTTCCTTTGTGGAGTTTGCATGTTCTCCACATTCCTGCATGTGTTTTCTCCAGATACTCCAGTTTCCTCCCACATTCCAAAAACATGCTCGGTAGGTTAATGGAACGCTCTAAATTGTCCCTAGGTGTGATTGTGAGTGCGAATGGTTGTTCGTCTATGTGTGCCCTGTGATTGGCTCAGAATTCTGAGATGTGGATGTGAAAGCAACAAGCTCACCATGCTACTTCCATTTAAATTCCGGCAGTATACTAAAAAAATTTAAGGAAAACAACAAGAATAATAGAAACAATTATACGCCAGGCAAACGAGTCATTAGGAATCATCCTCAAGAGTTAAATTATTGCATCATCCGTTAAATCTCTGAGTTTCTTGAGGCTTTGTGGATGATTAAGAAAGACAATAAGTGATTATAATTACCAGAGACATTTTTCTACCCTCTCCAACACTCTCATCTGCATCTGTATCTCATGTACATATTCTGTCAGTATCTCTAACTACAGATTCACTTTGTAAATCCAAACTTGGTTCTGCAAGCCGAATTGACAACAGTAGAGTCTCAGTGGCGAGCATTAGCTGTCTGAGAAAATATCAAACTAAACCCCATATCTCATCTTTTGAGGTTACAATTGAAACCATGTGTCACTGCCAAGCCATTATTTCAATTTAAACCGCCACCTTATAAAAGATATCTGATACACTGCGATACCTGAGTATAAATAAGGTCTGTCACAGGACACCTGAAGGCTATTATCTGCTCTTAGACCTTTTCCCTTGACAAGACATCCTTCCCTGAAAGGTCCACGTCATACTGGATAACAACCAGATGACCACCGAGTCGCTGTAACCCAAAACATATTTCAACAGTGAACTCTGGACGCAATGGTGCATACAACAAAACATCTGATATGTGTGAGAACAAACCTTTTCAAAACTAAATGTCCATCTCGTTTTATCCCATTTTGCCAAAACAGAATCTGAATTCTGAATCATAGACATTCGTGGAAAACTGTACTGTAACCTTTCTCGCTATATTATCATGTTGAGCAAGGGTTTCTATATTGGTAATAGTTGTAGCCTATGATGTATTCATGAATTTTCGTCCCTGTCAGTGTCAACAAGTAAGATAAAATATTTATGGTTGAAAATGAAGGAACACTGGAGGAACAAATCCAGCCTGTTTGTGGTACCTGGAACTTTGATATTGACTTTCCATCTGTGGTTGTTGCCTCGAGTGTAGAACTCCACATATCCTCCAAGAGGGTTGGTGTAGACAGAGAAACCATTAGAGATGACTTTACCTCCGGATGCTACAGCAAAACGGGATTCTTCTTCATAGTTCTTCCAAAAAAAGGAGAAGGTAATTCCTGCAAAAATGAAATGACCCATATACAATTATAAAGCATGCGACAATCTGCTGTCTGATTTGATGGGCCTTACTCCCATATACTTTTTCCCAATTGGTACCTACCGTCAGGGCCACACAGCGTCGGGTCACTGATGCAAGAGTTCTGGTAACTTCCGAAGTGGAGAAAAGTACCACCCTTGTCTCCATTCAGGAAAATGCCATTGTTGACCATTCCTTCAACAATATCTGTGGCAAAAATAAAGAATGGACTTAAAAAGCATTTAGGCTTAGTAATGACAATTCTCCACTCGCTTACACCCTGTCGAAGTATTTTGAAAATGATATATGAATAATTTTGGCTTTATTCACCAACACAATGGAGTTTAAATAAAGTGTCAATATGTGGGGTGACTTTGTTCCACATACCATTTAGGAAATATACTCGTAGGACGATTTAAGGCAGAGTTCTTTACCTCCATTTTCAGGGGCTCAAACGTACTTGAACAAAGAAACTGACCCACATTGGACCCACATTGTCCTATACTGTTGCCAAATCCCAACCCGCTTTCATCGAAGTTAATAACTATTCATATTTCATATTTTTGTTTAAATATAGGTTCTGAAAACACATTTACCGGTTACAGCATATTATAATTTCAAAATTATATTTCAAAAGTTTTTGACCTTCTGCCAAGCATTACGTCCAACAGCCAGAGGCTGAGCTCCACTGTAAACTAGTGCCTCGAGCACAAGGAACATTTCTTGCTCCTTTCCGAATACAAATACAGTAGGTGCCATATGGAAACTTGATATGCCTCTGTACTGTACCGTTAAAAAAAACGTATACGAAAATATGTAATTATTTATAATAACATAGAGCTGTCTGCCACCCACCCAAAATGAGGTTATGACCCACTTTGGGGTCCTGACGCACCAGTTGAGAATCACTACTTTAGACTAATGTAACCATTTTCTACATTATTTCAACAAATTTATCTGAGGTCAACTTGTACCAGAATGATGTCTAAAGAAAGGTCTATCGAGAAAAAAAGGAACAGCTTGTGCTAAAAGAAAAGCATAAATGGTGGAGGCAGCGTAATGGTCTGGCTGTGTATGCCTTCTAATGGAACGGGGTGTTTAACAGATATCGTGAAAGAAGTGACAATCATTATCCAAATGCTAAAAAACGAATGGGATGCCACCCCATTCATTGACCCGAGTACAGGTAATCAAAATATAATACATTTCGCTGGCATGGGGCAGAATTATTACATGTTCAAAACCATCACGTTTCAGGTAACCAAAATGTCATGTTTGTTGAGCCATTGACATTACATCGACAAAGAGAGCAAGGAATTGTCAACACTTTGGCATGGTCAATAATTTGTAAAAATAACAAACACAGACAGAAATAATTTCAACTCTGCCACTGCCCAACTACTTTTTGACATAACAATACAACTTTTGGTCTGATTAAAGAACAATGTTTAATTCTTGCAACATGAGTGCACAAAGGGAACCGTGAGAAATGATGAAGTGTGTGCAGACAGGAAAACAGAGGGCAATGGGTGTTATACAGTATACATGGATGTCTCAGTGGGTAGATCCTCACCTACTGTTGCAGAAATGTTAGTGTAGGCAGAGTCATTGGTATACACATAGGAAGTGTTATGGGAGGAAGGGAGCACAGTGTGCTTGTGGATTCTGAGAGCTGGACAAAGACATATGGAGAGACAGTGATGTGATTCATACCTAAATGGACACATAGCAGAGGAAACAGTGAAAGACAAAAGACAATGAGAGGGACATGATGTGCAGGTATGAGACAGCGTGATATTGAGCTGAGTGACTCGGATCGATCCACTCCTCAAATGAGGAATTTCTCAATGTGGGAGTGGCTTCACACATCGTGCTCAAGTCTATACCTGATCCCTCTTCAATTTCATCTTTTGAATAAATCTAGCAACATGGCTAAAATGTGCGATTGACATTTCTCAGAAACAACAACAAAAATTCCAATAGTCATAAATGTAATATTTTGGAACTGCTGTCATGGTTTTACTGCTTTGAGTGGTGTGAATATTATATTAAATGTATTACACAAGTCTAGCTTCTTTAAGTCCTAAGTTTAAGAGCATTGATCAATCACATCAGCTCATTTTAATAAAGCGTGATGTTGGAAAAACAGTGAAATGAGATCATACATAGTTCAGACAGAAAAGGACACTTCGCTGATGCACAGGTAGCTCAGTGATAGACATACTTATATTATTTCCGTTAACATAACCTGGTCTGTTTCCAATTTGGTCCCATAATCCGTGGATCCCATCCACAGCATCAAGAGGCCAATAATGTGAGGCTGTGGACAACACCTGCAGGCCTGGGAGGAACAGTTCAGGGGTCAACAAGGATTTCCAAAGGTCCCCCCCAACCCTCAACTAAGTTACATCCCATCCCTTGAAATACATTTTCCTGGTTCTTCTCATTTGCGTTGTGAGGGCGAGTTACTGCAATGCTAAAAACAGCTGTATGTTCATCATCCCTTTGTTGATACAATACAGACTAACATTTTCTAGTTTAGGCTGCACAGTGGACTTGTATTTAGCAAGTCTGCTTCATTATTGAGAGTTTCTGGTTTTGAATCTCTGCTCAGGACCTCCTGTGTGGAGTTTGCATGTTAATTCCTGAACTAATGTAGGTTTTCACTGGGTACTCTTGCTTTGTCCCATATTCCAAAGACATACATATTCGAGTAACTGAAAACTTAATTGTCCACAGGTATGAATGTGAATGTGAATGTTTGTTTCTCTACAGTATATGATCCTCTTGCCCATAGTCAACTGGGATGCTCTAAAGACGCCAAGTTATTAAAAAAAAAAAAAAAAAAAAAAAAAAATCTGTACCTGGATGCTTCAGGTGATGCACCACTTTGGCATGAACCTGTAAAAAAATAAAAATAAAATAAAATAAAACCCTTATTTATACTGGTTGTGCCACCACAAGGGCAGAATGCTCACATGTCAGTACTGTTGACATTTGAAAATATATCTTACCTTAATACATGAAACAAAAGCTGTTAATAGATGGATTCCCCAAAAAAGCTCCATGTTTTTAAGGGACCACAGAGTATGATTAAAAACCAATGAAGTTAAATCCACAAGTAGAAAGAAATCCAGAGGTCACCCATTATTCCAAGAAACGATAGATGAGGCCACTTGTCCAGAATGTCAAAGAGTTCAATTTAAAATAGTGTTTAATTGAAGGAATAGTTATTTCATTATATGGGGAAAAAAGAAACGTCAAATAATTATAACAACAATAATAAAAAAATAGAATCCGTAAGGAGTGTTCCAATATACATATAGGAGTCGTTCTAGTGTGCTGAAGAGTGAAAGCTCACTGAGTTCTTGGACTGAGCGTTGGAAGGGAAAACGTAATTTTTGGATCTTGTGAGGAGGGGCGTTGGAGCTGTGAGTAGATGACGTTATATTTGTGCGTACAGGATGGCAGGATGGACTACCACCCAAATACTGTATGCATAATCGGATCGACAGATTTTTACTTAAAAGCAAACTGTTTCTTGAAAAGATTTGGTTTCATTAAATTAGACGGACAGACAATCAGTGTCATTATCAGAACAGAGGTTTCAAGGCACTGCCGTTATCTGGCAATAAAATACTAATAATATAGTGCGTAGTTTTATGCTTCTAAATTTGTTTACAATGGCATCTATAAACAAAGTTCCCATTGAGGGAAAATCGCAAAACCACATTTCACATTCTTGGTTGTTACTGTTTTTCATATGTTGGCTTACAGCGACACCGTGTGGCCACTTTTGTCTTTGTGTCTGGCATCTATTAAATTCTGACATAGTGAGCGTCTCTTGTACTGTATTTGTATCACATCATTATATATGGCAGACCCACTGCGTCCCACTGCGCTTTACTTGAAAATAAATTTTGATGCAGTGATTCACATATGATGTGGTGGTTTTAATCATGGATGTACTGTATTTCCTCTTTGATTGAGGTTGGACTTGTTTAATCTCCGGAGAGCACTAGGGGGAGGGATATAAAAAGGCGTTTACGGGTACGAGTTGGCGAGGATCTGGGTGAGAGAATCATCGATATAGATCAAATTCTAAACAGACTTCTCCCTTTCATTTTGGTGCGTTTTGTATTTTGTTGGACACTCGTCGAGCGTCTAAACGCGAAAACCTGACACGCATGGAGCCGCACAGGATGATCCGGAGACTCTTTTAACAGAATAAAGTTAACTGTTCTACAGACGCGCTGGCCATTGTGATGAAGGATCGGCTGGTTGAGCTGACTGCTGTAGGTGTCTTTTATTGCTTTCATTTAACGTTTCGGTCCTTCTTTGGATGTTCATTTGCCGCTCTTCCAGAGAAAAGCGTCGGCAGAGGAAGATGTTGCAGTCCCAGTGGAGCGAGATGGTTTCATGGAGGGCTTCTTCAGGAGGGTCAGTCGCTGTGATCTAACAAGTGTCACGAATTGGTCCATGGGCGGATCCACAAGGTTGCCTTTTGCAGGTGGAGGAGGTTCGAGGACTCATTGATAGGATATTCGACCAAGTGGAAGACGTGAAGAAGATACACAGCATGATTCTGTCCGCACCCCACCCAGATGACAGTACGTTTCATCACACTGTGTGCTTTGTGTTTGTCTGATACACTTTCACTTACACGTTTCGTTCCTGTTAACTTGGAAGATGGTTCTTCAAAAAGCCAGACCTTGTTCAGTATATGAGTTCGGTCTGGTCTGGTCTCTCAACTAGATAGGCTATCTTATTATGAAATATTAGTTATTCTGGTGGCTAAATTTCTCACCATTAAGTAAGACACCTGAGAGTGGAGGAATGAGTCGGAATGCTCCGAGATGGGTTGTCGGACTCTTTCGAGTCCGACTGGGTGGTTTGAAGTGTGTATTCTGCCCATGTTTGGAGATGCTGCATAACTTTCCCATGCCAGCAGGGGAACGCGCAGACCCTGCTTCTTCTCCTCATGCCTGCAAGTTAACCTTTTCACCCGAGAAACATCTCCAACTTCAAAGTGACATTCGGAGAGACACTGGATGTGAAACCAAGACAAAGTTATCAGGCGGCCCAGAGCTAATAACACATATATTTCTGATTCAACTGGTCATTTTGGTCCCCATTCCTCGACTGATGTGGGGATTGGCGTCAGGCTTCGCTCAGACTGTTATTTCCTGTTGTAATTTGTTTGACAATGCTTGTGCTTTGCACAAGATAGATTTTGAAAAAGGGATTTTGACGCAGCTGATTTTGTGATCACAATATTAATTGTGATCAAGAGAGGGATTGTTAAGGTATTATTCCTCTCTGTTAGTTGGATTTGAAAGAAACAAAGAATGTAGAATGTCGTCGGAGGTATTTCCTGCTCACTGTGTTTACAATCACCTTTCGTGCCCCTCGACCCCCACCACTTTTAGGGCCCCCCTCCATAGGACATGTTTAACATCCAAAGAGGAACTGTTATCTCAAGTATCTGTGTTCCTCCCATCACACCAAATGGTGGGTAGTGGTGGTCTGGACTCACCTCACCACTCCCAACTTCTTCCAGCCACACCGGGTCAGATGACATGTTACTTTCTTTGTTTCTGGGATTTGCATGGAGGCGCAACTCCCCGCCTCTCATTATCATATTGTCTCTATATAATCTCATGACCGTGTTTCTTCTGGGGTTCCTGACTGAAATCTGAAACCCTTAGGAGCCCGAATCAATTCTTAAACTGCAGAAAAATAAATGAAACCCTTTGAAGGAACTGTTCATTGACTCCAGCCTGTATTTGGATAACCAACATCCTCATCATCCCAAATTAACGAACACGTGGAGGAAAAGAAAGGCTGCTCTTCCCCTAACAGGGTGAATAGAGGAAACTCACACAATGACACAATGTAAATACGAGCTGTTACCACAGGGCCTCTGCGCAGAGACTTGCTTCAACTCACTGTATTTTTCATGTTGACATCCCTTGTTAAGTAAAGTCAGATGTCTGTTTTCTCCTGCTTGTGCTTAGAAACAAAGGATCGTCTTAATGCGCTGACCAATGATATCAAAGGGAATGCCAATGTGGTGCGAACAAAACTAAAATGTGAGTTGAACTACAAATGTTCTTGTCACGCACGTTGTACACATCCTGAATATTTTCCGTGTGTTATGTTCTACCATGCTGCTCCCCCACTGAAGCCATGGAGCAAAGCATGCCTAAAGATGACGCGACTAACAGATCATCTGTTGACTTCAGGATCCAGAAAACACAGGTGGCTATTTAGTCAGTTATCAGTATTTAGTACTTGTACATCATTTAGCTGAGTAATCTAAATGCTTTACTACAGAAAGAGGGGTGTTTATCTTCATCCCATATTTTTAAACTATACATCAACATGGAATCGGGATGTTTGAAAAAAAAAACAACTGTCTCATCCTCTGTCCTTGTCCTTCGATTCATCTCTAGCACACGGTGCTGTCCAGGAAGTTTGTGGAGGTAATGACCCAGTACAATGAGACACAAGTTTCCTTTAGGGAGCGAAGCAAAGGACGGATCCAAAGACAGTTGGAGATAAGTAAGTGACACATATTCATCCTCAGTGAGGTCAGAGTGCTTCTATGTAGAGTATTGATACTTCTTAGAGATAGTGTTCATGTCAACGCATATGTTTTTCAAGGTTGCCCGCCGCAGGAATAGAGTTGTCCGAGAAACATTTGTGAATGTGAGACAATCAAGTCCAGAGATAATAGAGTGGCAAAAAAAAAAAAATCCCTGTGAGGCAGGATCCAGGAAACAGACGCCACCGGTTTCCTCCTTTTCTCTAACTTGTTGTTAAACAGACATTGGGGGTGTCGACCTTTACAGGCTTATTCAATCTGCCAAAGCTTCTTTTTGCATCTGTCTAATTAATTCTGCCTCATGGAAATAAATAGTTTTCTTCTCGATTGGATGAGAATGCTCATGCGCTTCTATTGCCTCAAATGTTTTTCTCTAACTTCTAGGTAAACATAAATAAGCCCATTTCCCCCATGTTTTTTTTCCAAGAAGCCCTGTTTGGCCCACTTTCAAATGACCGTAGCAAGTGTGTATTCAGGGTTTGGTGTTTTCCCCATTAAGACCCGACAATAGTGAGAAATAAGTCTTCTCCCTCAGGCCCTCCGGCCAACATTAACGAGAAGCTTTGCGCTGTAGCTGGTAAGCCTGATACCGGAGACTGTGCTGTTCACTGTGTCATTGTTGCCGAGACAACGGGAAGAGGGCAGGGCGGCTTGTGTAACACTACTTCACCTGTCTCTGACACACAGTGTTGTCAAGGAGTCTTAACGATGACTGACATCACACGGAGTGACATTTTTTGCATTCTAGTGATGGATTGCATTTTAATGAGATGTGAATGGGGAGTGTTTTGCCGTGTGATGTCGAGTCTCTCTGAATAAAAGTCTATTCAAAAGGGAGTGCGACATCCAGTAAGCACTTTCCTCTCCAGGGAGGGAGTGGTTAAGCAACAACAGGGATGGCTTGCAGGAAAAAAAAAAGCTTTCTGTTTGTATAGTGTCGGCAGTTGTTTCTCTATGAGAGGTGCCGATGTCTATAGGTGCCTGAGTCACTTCTAATTGCTTCTATTTTTGTGCAACCTGCATCCACAAATAGAATGACTCTAGGCCCAGAGCTGGTGTCAAGTTAAAAACATGCAGCATCTGTATCAGTAGCTCATTTGTTTGTCTCTCAACATTTTGGACTCATAATGTCCTGCAACAGGAAGAAAATATAGCCGGTGTCGTTACATTTGCCCTCAGATGTGTCTAATAGTATTAAAGCCTTGCTGTATTCAATCACAATAAGTACAAACCGCACCTGTGTGTCGGAAAGGCAGCATTTCATATTTCATATCATTCATAGCACTCTTCCCTGGGAGGAAAGGGGGGCATTATTGTTGGCTTCGGCAGTTTTTGTGTGGGTTGGTCTCATTACTCAGTGGGCTGTACACAGAGCATCTTCACAACAATACCACAATAATCTGTTGTGGGATTAAACAGATTGCAGTGTGTTTTGGGTTAAACCTCAGTTTTTGTTATTACATTAGTCTTCTTTTGAAACAATATCAACCATCCGTCCATCCATCCATTTTCTACCGCTTATCCTGTTCAGGTTCACAGGTGGTTTTCACAATGAAAATCAAACGATAGAATCGTTACACCCCATTAAATGTAGGGTGACAATTTGCAGGCACTTTAAATACTAATACATAAATTGAGAAAGTTGACCTCAATTTCATTTTTGTCCAAAACTAAATTACTCATTCAAATGACATAAAATACACTATCATTACAACTTTTAGAAGTAATACTACTATCAATTAATAATGTCAACTTACCTGTACAGTACGTTGTATATAATTGTATCTTATTTGCATAGGGCTTTTCAACATTTAAGGTAGTCAAAGCTCTCAATTAGCACTGGCTTCTTATTCACCCACTGATGATACATACGATATATACGAACAGAACCACAAATGTTCAGTAAAATTCACCCACTTTATGGATGCATTTTCATAGCTTTTCAATTAATGTACTCTTTATCCTAAATATATATATATATATATTTTTTTTTTTGTGGCCGATTGCGATTATTGGCAGGAAAAAAAAATACAGGTTACTGGTTAATCGGCTGAATAATTAACACATTTGAAATGAATAAAATATCCCTCCAAGCATTTCAATGGCCATCAATTATACATTGACTTTTGGCATTCGCAGTCCGGCCTGGTCCCTGCGAATAGTTGGGGTCAACTTTAAATATATTGTTAAAAGAATTACTTTACTTTTTGGTTCTCAGAATGCATTGCGTGGTGTAATGCCAATTAATGAAGTTATAGGGATAATCGTTGTCATATGAGTGTTTGTGTTATCAATCGTTGAATGTGTGCCATGTTGAACACGTTTATGTTTGATTTTTGTTGCAGTATGTTTTAATTTTATTGTTTTTATTTTTTTTAAACAAACTGTGACTTTAAGCTGTGTAAAATAAAATAAAATAAAATACTGACATCCAGGTCAACAATTTGCAATGCTCATCTCATCATTGCTTGTAAAAATTAAGATTTGCATGGTTTTGAATGACGGGTCCATCGAATGTCTTTTTCAACAAGTTGTATTGTGTATTTCAAGATGCAAGGTTATGTTATAGATTTATATGTCATAAATAATGAGAACAGTGTTGCTCGTGTCCAGCTACTGTAAATGGTTTGATACATCACAGTCGAAACAGTTGGCAAACATCGGCCATTTGGCTGATTATTTTGGCCGACGTTTGAACGGCCGTAATCGGTTGATTTAATAGTTTGACACTCTCCCAAAGCGTTTTTTACAGCGTGAAACCTATCCTCGCTGACTTTTGGGCGAGTGTACACATGCGTTAACTGCACCCATACAGACCATTCATTCTAGCATTCAAATATATGGGCAGTTTGAATTTTCAGTGATCTTCCCACCTGTCAACTCCCGTAGTAATGTATTTTTTGAATGTGGGAGGCAACTGCAGATCCCAGAGTACCTCCTCATTAGCAGTAAAGCAGACATTAGAATTAATGTCATATTTTGGGGTCACAAAACATATTTTAATTTCTAAAAATAATCATTTTAGCTGGAAGAGTGACCACCAACGAAGAACTGGAAGACATGCTAGAGAGTGGAATTCCATCCATCTTCACATCGGACGTAAGTGTTCTTTTAACATCACATGACTGGTACGCAATGTGAAATTGTCATCTCGTGGCAGAGAAAATTGCTGCTTGTTTCAAGTACTGTACTGTTGTATCATCTTTATGGCTAGTTTGCTGTTCTAATTTAGATCATCTCGGACTCCAAGATCACACGTCAGGCCTTGGATGAAATAGAATCACGACATCAGGACATTATACGACTGGAGTCCAGCATAAGAGAGCTACATGTGATGTTCATGGACATGGCAATGCTAGTTGAAACTCAGGTATCCACTGCAGGGGCGTACAGACGGAGGGGCCAACGGGCGGCGGCCCCGAGCATCCACCTATTAGATGCATGGTCGGTGGATCAATAATAGTTTGATGCGCAGGCTGAAGGGGCATCCTGCTGAGATAGAAGGGGGCATATATTTATATACTTTGATAAATGTCCGTCCACCCCACTGAATATGAACATATTTCTGGTTATAAATAACAGATGCCAGCTTGTGAAAACTCACTTTACATATCTTTTAATACGGTTATAAAGCGAAATGGCGGGCCGGACTTATAGCTGAGCGGTTAGTGCTCTGCATCCATCCCCAAGTTGGGTGGTCGCCGCAAGAGTAAAAGTGCCACCAGATGCACATGTATGCCACCGATACAGAAATGCAATCAGAATGACAATGAATGTTATGTCCGAAAATGAATGTTTACAACACTATCCCCTGAGTCCCTCCCCATGACCACCACAATGACCCCATCCAAAAAAGTAGGGGGCATGAAAACCGGCAGCTACTGTGCTTCGCAGGCCCCTAAACCATTGAACTCTCAATTGACCCACATTGCCGCTTGTTTTTGTTTTTAAAATACAGTTCAGTATACAATTTAACTATAATGTCATGGTTAGCACACTGTCCTCATGATTAGCATGTGTCCCTCAGAGTCGAAAATTTCAGTTGAGGCTCTCCCGCGGTATACTTTACAGTTTCTCTCTTTGTTTTCCGGCTCTTCTGCGACCCTTTTTTGGACACGCAATGTATGGATATTATGTCACTATGTTATTTATGGTGCTGTAAAAAACCCACTAGATTTACATTTACCCAAATTAAAATATTCATAATCTCTCTTACAGGGTGAAATGGTCAATAACATTGAGAACAATGTTTCCAATGCAGCTGAATACATTTGTCGGGCTAAAGAAGAAACCAAAAAAGCAGTAAGATACCAGAAAAAATCCAGGCGGGTAAGTGCGACTTTATAATCACACTTGTCAGCCACACCCGGCACATTCTAATGAAATCAATACAAGAACTCAATGAAACTCTGCCTTGACATAGACAATATTGCTCAGTTTTGAGTGACACTGACTAACAACTATCAGCGAACTACAATGAAACCTTTTGTTAATATTTATAGTTGTCTCTCAGCGTCATGATTAGGCATTGGTATTACCGTATATCTTATCTTATTGTCACTATTTACCGTAGGTTTGAACTTCAACTAACAGTACATTCTTTGCTTGGCAGAAATATATAATCCTCGCCTTTGCTCTCCTGATCCTGCTTGCTGTCATTGCTTTGATTGTTGGCTTGTCTGTCGGACTAACCAAACCTCCTGCCTGAGACTGATAACAGCAGGAGGGTAATAACTGCCGCGCACCTTGCCAACCATCCATCCATCCAACCAACCATCCATCCCTCCATCCTTAGGTCCTGACATTGACATCTCTATCTTTTCCTTTTTTTAACAGAAGCTGCTGTGCCTTGCTGTGTGTGGAGTTGCGGGTGTCCTCATTTTACTCATTGCACTAGTTGGTGCCTTCGGGTGAAGGATTACACGGGTCACAGCCTCACAGTAATCTCTTGTTCCTGTAGTGATAGAGCTTACAACAGCGCCATCTCATTCACCACATAACAGCATTACAGGGAGAAACACAATCAAGTATGCTAAGTTGTCTTCTGTTCTTCTTTGCACCAGTGACAACAGACCTCGTGACGCACAAAACTGTACATGGGGAATGGGTCTTTAAAACACATCACTGTCCACAACATTAGGTACAACTGCACTATCTAGTGAGTTTCAAATAGAAAACTGTATTAAAATTCTTCCTTGGAAAAGTCGTTTAACATGAACCCTTTCATGCAAACTGTAACCTGATAACATGATAAGCTGTCCACTGTAGTAACCGCTGTCCCTGAAAGGGTTAAAATGGTTGTCTGACATTGACCGACAGGTCTTCATTTAAGACAACATAATACTGTACATCTCTTCTAATGGATCAGGTCATGCAAATGTACCTAATGTGGTGGCTGTTGAGTGTACAGTTGCTCTCTGTGATACAATAACTACCGACAGCCTATCAGATATTGTGGAACAAAGGATATACATACCACGGTGATATAAGAGAGTCATTTTAAAATCCTTATGTTAGACATTTCTTATTTTGTGCTATTATAGTTTAGATCTGTGGAACACGGCCTCGACCCCAACACCCACCTAATGTAGCATGAAGACAAAAACAAAAAATCACATTTGTAACACTGAGATTTTTGTGCCAGATTGCTATTTAGCTGATGTGATGTCCTGCTTACTTCTTGCCACTGTGAGACGAACAGGAAACCAATTCTGTAGGCTAAATGTTTCATATGCTCACTTGATCTTTCTGAATATGAATTATTTACTTGAAGTCATGTAAACGGAATGTAAGTGCTGTATCTCAGGATGTTGTTTGCAACACATTTTGAACACAAGTAAAGTAGGTTTGGTGTCATATTTTCCACTTGATTGAACATTTCTCATATTGACTAAAGTAGCGTATTTTAACAGTTGACTTAGACTTAACTTCAACAACCAAACCTAAATTGTTCCATCTTTATCCCGAATAAAACAAAATTGCATTGTGGTCGTAATGTTGAAAATATGCCTTTGAAAATCTCTTTTGATGTAATTTTATGGAAGCATTTTACCCACTGTGCTAAAACAACCATTTGTATTCATGATGGTTGACTTCAACAATAAAGCCTAAATTGTGCCTTCTCTATCCGCAGTTAAAGAGGTTTTTGACATTGTGACTGTGATGTTGGAAATTATACCTGTGAAAATGTTTTTGATGTTGTTTTAGGGCCACATTTTCCTCATGATGGTAAAACATAATCATTTGTATTATTTGAACGTGATAAATTAGATTTTATATCAAAGTTGTGTGAAATATATAATATATAAATAAAATGCATTCTTAAACATATTACACATACTTCCTTCTCATTGTTTTATATGTCCCTTGTCCTCACAGGTTGTAGTATATCATATAACATAAGCTTACACAAGTACAGGGAGAACACATTAACTCCACACAGGAAGGCTGGTGTCGAGATTCAAACCCTGAAACCCGTAACCTCAGAGCTGTCACGCTGATGTGCTAACCACATGCGCATTCATGCTATCCTACATGGATCATTCCAGAATTGGAGGACATTTTACGTCCGACCCATCAAATTAGAAATAATCCGCATACAAAATACGAATGCATGCAGTTTCTGAGTACATTGACTTGCCCTGAGACCAAATCTAAAAAAACAATGAGAGCAAAGAATACTTGAAAATAGTTTCAAAAAATACTAAACTAAAATGCCATTTTTCTCTTGATCTACACCCCCAATGACAAATTGAATCTCAAATAAGATTAAAATTACATTTAAATTACCAGTAGATTTTTTTAATATAATTTGTTTCATTGTCTCTCTTGCAACTGTGGGAACATTTGGTTTAACAAACATCCATCCATCCATTTTCTGATCCGCTTATTCTCACGAGGGTCGCAAGGTGTGCTGCAGCCCATCCCAGCCGCCTTCGGGCAGTAGGTGGGGTACACCCTGAACCGGTTGCCAGCCAATCGCAGGGCACACGTAGGCAAACAACCATCCACGCTCACACGCACACCTAGGGATAATTTAGAGTGTTCCATTCACCTGCCATGCATATTTTTGGAATGTGGGAGGAAACTGGAGTACCCAGAGAAAACGCACGCAGACACAGGGATAACAAGCAAACTCCACACAGGAAGGCTGGAGCCGGAACCGAACCCTCCACCACAGCCCTGTAAGGTCGACACGCTAACCAGTCGATCACTGGGCCACCCAGGTGAAAATAAGTCATTAAAATAGCCTAACTGCATGTTGATAAGCTGCTGCAAGAATTTCCTATGGACAGACCAGACAAAACTGGTGCGTTTTAGCTCGGCACCTCAGCTCTATGTTCACACAGAAGCAAAAATGAAGCATAAGATAAGAACACTGTCCCAACTGTGACACAAAGATGAGGCTCTGTTTTGTTCTGGGGCTGCTTTGCTTCATCTGGCACACGGTGTCTTGAATCTGTGCGGGGTAGACAATGACATTTCAAGATTGTCAAGATATTCTCAACAGAAATGTGCTACCCAGTGTCAGAAAGCAAATATAACACGAGTGTATGTAGGCCGAACATTTAATTTTGCTATTGTTTTTAATGTATTTCTTTTGCCAGCTGTGCACTCTTCACTGTCTCTGTATGTCGACAATAATCCAACATCCTCTTATTATGTAACCCTGCTGGATACAGATATTTATAATCTGAAGTTATGACATCATCCGGCCACCCAGCGCAGCTGACCATGACAAGCGTTTGGGGTGGCATGCAAACTGGCCTGCCATGGTAGGTTGTTACTTGTAGTCAATCCGCAAGAATGATTCCTACCGGGCTTCATTTTTTTTCATCACCCCTTCCCTTTCACGCCAGGGGTCAATGGGGTGTGAGAAGACTTGCAGGCTGGAGAAACTCCTGAAACATTGTCAGAAGGAGTGCGTTGTGAGCCCGGGACAAAGGTTACCTCCAGCAAAAAGGAGCAGTCAGATGAAAGGCACAGACAAGGTGAGCCGAGTCTACTATCAAGCGTAAAGTGAGCGAGCTTTTAATTCAGCCACGTCTGGTCTGGACACAAGCTGCACTGGTTGATGCCCGCAGCCACAATCTGATCTCATGCTGCACTCCGTAGCTCTAACTAATTGAAACCTTGTACTGTATGTGGATTTTCGTATTCATTCTCCTAAAATGACATGATTTTGTAATTGCTTGATATAAAATGAACTACTCTGATTACAAATACTCCGAAACAAGACAAGGTCTAATAATAGATAAATAGCAGTATTGTGAAGATTTCTAAATTGCAGCTGGGCTTGTATATTGCCTCAGTGCCTTGTTAATGTCCATGTGCAGCCAGTCTGTCATAGTATTCTGGCGTGTGTGTGTGTGTGTGTGTGTGTGTGTGTTTGTTTCGTCTTTGCATGTGACTGTAGTGTACGTGCTATTACTGCTGCTACTGCTGCATAAAAATGTTTATTGCTGTGGTTCTTCTTGCTTTGACCTCTGATGAAACCTCTCCCATGGGTAGTAAAAAACAGGGAGGCTTTTGATTGAAATGACTCCCCACTGTGGATATAAGTAGGTGGAGGTTGCCCATTTTTAGCAACGGAATGACACTGTACAATTTGACATGAATAAGTTGAGACGGGTGGGTTGCCCTTAGGAAGGATGCTTGATGTTTTTGTCGATAAAATCCCACAATATTTACTGTTCTGCTTGACATTTACTGGGGAAGGAGTTCATCCCTGTTCTCTCCACCCTATTGCTGGTTTATGATTAGGGTTCTGTTTAATTGTGTAAAATGTTTGCTCATTCACCTGGAAATAGATTAGTAAGACAAACTATAATAAACCGAGGTCCAGTGATGGAGAACAAACAAAGGCTAACATTGATTGTTATTTATCTCTTAGAGCAATATGCACGATTTCCACAATGAAATGCATGTCTTGTTAGGGAGATTTTTGTTTGTTTCCTGACCATTGTTGAAGTGCCCTTGAGCCAAACATCAACATCCCCTCCAGCATCTATCCTTGCATGTCTGCAAGTGTGCTGTGCAGCAAAGCATACATCTCTGGAAAAAAATAAAAAGACCCCCTCTGCCCAAAAAACAAACAAACCAAAAAAATAAACAACAAGAACAACACTGGAAACTTGTGTTTTGACTCGTTTTCATGATCGAAAATGAAATGCTCTACATTATGTGAAAATATGTGCATGTGTATTTGGAATGGTGTTATGCAGTCAGTAGTTCATCGCAGTGTATCTCATGCACGGGGAGAACATGCAAACTCCATACAGGAAGGCCTGGGCCTGAAATCGAACCTCTGCACTTCTACAACGAGGCAGATGTGCTAACCAGTTGCCGACCGTGCCGCACTATTTTTAACCAGCATATCTTCGGTACATCTTCTTTGAGAGCCTCAAGAATTTCCAATCATGCAGCAGTTACTTAAATGGACATTGGCACTTATAAAATAGGTCTCTGAATAAAAATTATGTCAACACAAAAATACACTAATATATAGTGCCCTTCATTTTACGTTCTGTTGTCACCTCGGCTCTGAAAATGGCGGCCAATATTGATCAAAATTCAGATGCACCTCTCCACTACAACCTGTGAAAATATAAAAGCGATCGGCCCAATATTTTGGATTTTATTGACATTAAATGTGAGCTCCTAAGAGGAAAAGCCATCATTACCTCCACAAAATGGAAAATATTGTCCGATCAATGTTCTATTTTTCTAGGTTAAAGTGGAGAGAGTAGGTATATGCATATGAATTTCGCTGCCGATTGTTCTGAGTTTTCAGAGATTTAGTGAAGCTAAGGTTTTGTTCGTGGACTCCATAGGCAGGCAGCCATAATGTATAATGCCTATGGAGTCCATGGCTTTTTTTCCAGATACTCCTGGTTCAACCAGAAACACTAGGTAAGGTTACTGTACTGGCTCCTCACAGCCCACTCCGCCTTTTTGTTTACTCCCAAGGCAGAAGACACTTGACATCAAGCTGTTGTGGTGCATCTACTGATAAACAGGCACTATACGATATAAACTGAATTGCTAAGAGGGTCCCGCTGGAGTGGGAGGGAAAGCTCATGGTTGCTAGGCATCCACTCTAAGGAAAGCATATTTCATTTGGGCCGCCCGCCTTGCTTTTCCCACAACAAATGCAGTTGTCTCGTCAGCCACAGAGGGCAGTCATGGTGCACCGCTCCACTCCTTTTGCCCCACAGTGGGAAAAAAAAATGGATACTCCAAATAATCCCACTTAATTCTCTTCTGCACTTAATTTCCAAATCTTTGATTGGTTGTTTGCAATTGTTTTTGATATCTGAATGGGTTGGCCCACCGTTCATTGAATGATATTTTATCAAGCTGACCATCTAGAGACCGTTGGTGCACCCTCTGTGGCATGATAACCCTTGACAAAGGCAAGCGCAGTCCAAAACTGAATGAAAAACTGAACAAAACTGAATGAAAGACTGAAGAGGTAGTAGAAGATCCTCAAACGACCTTGTGAGCCCCAATCATGGCTGCCCATGAGTGTCTGTTAAAATAGAATAGAGGTTGAATGGAAGGTTAAATGGACAAAATTGTGCATGATTTGTGAATTTAAGACTGAGAAGGATCAAGTGTGATTCAGGAAGATGAAAGGCATCTTGGTTATGGAGTAATGCTCGGTGGTGCCGGGTACTGCACTGCCTCTGCACCCCTGCTTGAGTCTGTGTGACTAAATGTGTGTAAGAGATGGAGAAAGTGAGCGAGAGGGAGAAAGGGAAAGGGGGCGTGTTGATGTGTGCGCTCTGCTGCTGTGGTAGTGTGATGCTAGATGGCTGGATCTCTCTCTCTCTCTCTCTCTCTCTCTCTCTCTCTCTCTCTCTCTCTCTCTCTCTTTCCCAGTGCACTGCCCGCCCGGCTGTGCTTCTTGCTGCTGTGCACTGCTGAACCATTTTATGCTACAGAGCTGCCATAGACATCATTTTGTTGCTTGTGTCTCTGTCCTTGGAGCCCTGTGGGAAGCACCTGCCGCGGTACTGGTCCTTTAAGTGCTGCTGCTAAGGTATGGCACCGTTTACCATCTGCTGTCAAGCTGTGTGTGTGTGTGTGTGTGTGTGTGTGTGTGTGTGTGTGTGTGTGTGTGTGTGTGTGTGTGTGTGTGTTTTAAATACAATCCATGGTTGTGTTTTGCTTGCTGTGCTGCAGAATCGGAGATTTGCTGCTGACGGATAAAGATCTCTCACACTCTTAAAGGTTAAGATCATTGAAATGACTTGTCTGCCTTGTCAGTTGGCTGTCCAACAGTACAATTTGCCTCCTTTTCTAGAGTATCCAGGCTCGCTGAAATATAGCCAGAGGACATTGCATTTCATTTGTATGCAGTAAAAATTCAGTTCATCTATTTGTGTTCCTTCTTATTAAAATTATGATGCAGTGGGTATAAGACAATACTTGGCTGTCTTTACCGTATTTCCATGGATGGTCTAACGTGATTTAGGGGGTTAGCGTCAGCGCCAGTTGAGACCGCCTCGCCTGCCAAGAGGCATTCTCTCTTAAGTCTAAAGAGAAGTTGCATTAATAAATTGAGGAGATACATTCCAACGTGCAAAATCAATGGTGCTGACCAAAAGAACATGATTGAATCCAGACCTCTCAGGTGTACCTGTGTTGTTTGTGGGTCACAAAAATGTGTTATTGAGTGTGATAATTTCACCCTGTAGGTTGCTGAGAATCGCTGGAGAGAAGTGCGCTTCTGAATTTTGTAATCATTAGATTTGTGCCTAGTCAGCATTTAGCCACAACATATAAAAGCGTGGATGACAGCCACGAGAGAATCTGGGTAGTAGGAGTACACAGATGTGCCTTACGATGAGAGAAGGCAATCGTTTGTGTGCCTCTTGGCGCTTCTGCTACCCAATGTCATGTATAAAGAACAGTTTACGCAATTTAGGGGTGTCAGTATGGACATACACCTGCAATTTGATCACATTTTCAAATAACAAGCTCCCATTCATACTGTAGCTCCTCCTCCCCACCTTGACAAGCACACATTCTCATTCATCATCTCGCAGGTTATCCCTGAGCTGCCAGCAAGTGGCTTTTATCTTCCCTACACAAAGAGGAAAGACGTTCATATTTTTAACTCTCACTATGAAACATGTTGAATAGGGTGCTGTTGGTGTGGAAAAAGAGTCGTGAATGGAATGAGTGAATTGAAGGAATCATAATTATTTGCAATGCATAAAGCTGCCTGAAGCATTTTTATCCATAAAGCTGGAGTGTGTTTGTTTGTTTGTTTTCTCTGTGTGTTTATTACAGGGTATTGAATCGATTGCAGCTGGACTGCTCTGTTTGACGTCTCACCTCTCATCCGAGTTTGTTTCATCACTTGGTGATGGTTAAGCGCGCAACAGTCTCAGTTGGTGTGGCAAACCCAACTATTTATGCTCCAAGTTGAAGGCATGCCCCGACCACTAATGGGATGATTCTTTTGGAATGCAAAACGACAGTCGTTAAAATGCCATGCAGAGATGCTCGTGTCTGTCAGCAAGTCGTTGGGTGGTAACCCCCTCAATAATATCCCATTCAGTTATTAAAAGGTAGTGGAGTCACGACGGCCTGCATTTTCACTGTCTGTTGGATGTAAATAATTGAGTCTCTTTAGGATAGATGAAAGGGTAGCATTGTATGTAGGGCTACCTGTCCATCCCACCATGTTTAGAAATGGTCTTTTGACCTTTATGTACAGTTGTGCTCATAAGTTTACAGACCGTAGGGGGTCGGTGGCTCCTCTTACTTCTTTTTCAAACCACCTGTGTTCTCTGTGAATAATATGTCCATTTTTGTCCTCAAAAGATTGCTCCTTCTCTCTGAGGTGCAGGTAGACTGCTTAGTCTTGTCCCATCTGTGTTGGGCTATGCGTCTGTACAGTGGTTGGTGGATTTGCTAAATATATATATCTGTGCATTCCTCACTGCTCTCGACTCCATGCACCAGATCTCTTTTCTGAGTATGGGGTGTCCGGTCTTTGGTGTGGACCAATCTTCGTCTCAGGGCGTTGCCACGTTAGAGGTATACCGGAATATTGTCCGTCCATCCATTTTCCGATCCGCTTATCCTCACAAGGGTCGCGTGGGGTGCTGGAGCCTATCCCAGCCGTCTTCGGGCAGTAGGCGGGGGACACCCCGAACCGGTTGCCAGCCAATCGCAGGGCACACATAGACATAGAACATGCAAACTCCACATAGTGAGGCCCGAGCTGGAATTTAACCCGGTACCTATGCGCTGTGAGGTCAACGCGCTAACCGCTGGACCACTGGGCCACCCCCGGAATATTGCATTGGTTGAAAATTCTCAAGTCTTTCAGACCGACATGACACATGGGTACTAATTTGATAGATTGAGATTTTTTTTTTGTGTTCAGACATATTTTTTGTGGATTGAGAAGTTCTCTTACCTTGTTAACATTTTTGGCTATCAACACTCCAGCCTTCGTCAGAATTGTCAACGCTTCCTCTTGTGAGATGAAGACCTCTCGTGTGTTACCTGATATCACAAAAATGAAAACGCACAATGTCCCCAATATGCGCCGATGTTTACTGAATGTGTCCAACATGAGAGTGTTGTGACATGGCGATGTTGCAAAAAATAAAGGCTTGATTTGGAAACGATGTTTGCCCTCTAGGCAACCTGCTTTTGTACAAAACACGATATCGGGTAGGACATATTTATAAATTTTTATTGATGACTGTTTCCTTGTCACGTGCCCGGACCCATTTTGGGACAAATCCACTCAGCGGTCAAGGTTCTTGGTGAGCAGTGAAAATTATGTTATGTTATAGATACATTTGTAACATTGCCGTAGATATTTAAACACCAACTTGAAATAAAAGTACACTTTTTTGTCCGTACAATATAACATAATTTTGTAATCTTGTGCGTAATCGTCAATAATACCCCCCTTGATTTTAAATGATTTATTTTGGCAAAAAACAAAAACAAAAAAAAAAATGTGTCTTATTCTTGAGAAATTACTGTGAATGAAGGTTACATTTGATTTAGTTGAGGACATATTATTCATGAGGGATTTAATGGAATGGGATCATCGTTGTTGCACATGAATTGTGCATTTGTGCATGATTCTCATTTTGTTTCATTCCAAATGCCCTACTGTGATGTAGTACATATGTAGCCAATGTAAAACTGTGCAATAAGACCGTCTTCCTGTTATCGGAGAGCCCTTGTCGAAAGGGCTGAACATGGCGAATGTTGTAGCTGTGCATGTGTGTGGATGGGTTGTGGCTGAGCGTAGTCTTAAGTGACTGAAGCTTGGTCATAGTAACAGCTGGAACACTGCTGCTGCTGGCGCCAGAATGTGGTCTCAGTAAGGCACGTGACCCACAGTGTGAGGCTTTAGTGATATGAGCAGCAGGGTTGCCGCGCAATGTTACATAACACTATCTTCACTGGGAAACGGCTCTGGAGATGCCTTCTGTAAGGCTCCGTGACAGCAGAGTGAAAGTGCATTATCATCGTTAGCAGCCCTGTCACTTGGGCAGACTGTTGGACTCTCCCATGCGTGACAATGCAAGCAAGGCTTTTACGCATCATCTAAACATTCAGTGTGATTGTACATGTTTCTTCATGCAAGCACCCTTAGCATCCACCCTTTAAACACGACAGAAAAACGCACACTTGTTTACACTCAGTGAATGTTTGTTTTGCTCAAATGATGCTTAATTTTGGTGCAAATTGATAACGTGCCAGGTGTCATGTCTGCAGGCAGTCTGACGTTCAGGGCAGACTGGTTGCTGACTGTGCCAGAGGTCACCTCTGGGGATCCGAAGACATTCATAATTGATGTTTCTGGAGTTAATTAGGTCTGTTCATTCCATCATTGGACAACACTGATTGAAGAGTTCATGGGTTTGTGATAGTGGTGCTGACATCGAAGTTGTTTGGTGATGCCAGAATGATACATTTAACGTGTTTGCTGTAAGAATAATTGATTGACTTTTCCAAAGCTCATATATTGAATGAACAACAGTGTTGGTAGCATTTGTATAACAGCTTCCACCCTTTTGAAAATAATTTAACCAAGCTTTTTTTTCAGTTCAACCCAAGGGCGCTTGATGTAGTTGAGGTTTGGGTTCTTTTCTGCCCCACTCTATATAAACTATGCCTAAAGTGGCTTTTTTGCACAGGATTGCAGTCCGTCTAGAACCGAAATGAGTGTTCCCCAAAATGTTTTCCACCATGTTGAAGCATGCGACCAAATGTCCAAATGAAGAACCGGTATGACTATAGAGAACATAAAGGGCCGATTTACTGAGCTCCTAAATTGGGAGTGCTAAATTTCATAGTCATTAACATCTTGTGCATGCTGTTCGTGGGCATGTTAATCTACTAAAATTGTGACATTGTACTAATCTCCCATGATGTGCTCAATTGCGTGTTCACTCACTAACTAAGTGTGTGCACTGATTAACCTTTGTCGTGTCATGTCCGCAGTTGACGATTATGTTTAGGCACCTTTCGGCCGATGTTCGCACCGTCACGATAACTTCTGTTTCAAGCATGTTAAAATAGTTCACACAAGCGAAAAACTCAACTGTATTTATAGAGAACTTTAAAACAACCACCGATGTATACCAAGTGCAAAACTGGAGCAAAAGTAAGTCATACAATAACACAATAAATTTAGAACAGAGACAGTAGTAAGCGCAAAAACAGTAAAACTAAAAATCACGTCTCATGCTGGGTCAAAAGCCAGGGGATAAAAATTAATTTTAAGTCAAGTTTTAAATCTGTGCAGCGAGAGGGATTGCCTCACGTTCAGATGGCGGTCATTCCAAAGAGAGGGACCAGCAACGGAAAAGCCTCGATCCCCTCTGAGCCTCCGCTTAGTTCTCGGTCTCTGGTCCGCAGCCCTGAGGCACCGGGCTGGGACGAAGGAGCTCACAGAGGTAAGGTAGAGCGAGGCCATCTAAAGATTTGAAAACAAATAATAGAATAGAATCTTCAAAAGAAGTCTAAAATGTACAGGGAGCCAGTGAAAAAGGTCTTTTCGCTGGCACTGTTGTGCTTGCCAGGTTGCACCTGTCTTCGAGACGCTATATTTAAAAACCAGCCACTCCAGTTGGTCTCAGTTTTGCTAAATCCCATTGCATATGCTAAATTAATCTATACATATTTACGCCTCTCAGAACCGATTAAAGAATTTTGCTTGTTTGGAAGATGCAATCCTGGTTGTACCCATAGTTAACAGACCATACGTTTGCTGGTGTGAGCAATCATGGATTCTCATTCTTCGAAAGTAATATGATCATGTTCAGGTATATCTTGTTTGCCTGAATGCTGTCAATTGGTGTAAAGAGGTGTTACCTAATTCCTTTTTTGTCTGGTTGCTATATATTAGAGTGAATTTTGATCCACCAGTTCAGTCATACGCCGCAAGTTGTGTTGTTTTTCTTTCAAGTTGCCATGCATGTCCTCATTTTAGTGCATTGGTTGTCATGCAGTCTACTGAGTCTTACTTTGATTCCCTTTGATATTGCATTAGTAAACTATGTTGACAAGTACCCATGACCTGTGTCTCACTCATACCCAAAAACAATATGAGCAGCACCCTCAGATGTCACCGGCTTTGTCCGAGAGTCACCCTTCACACTGCCTGCTGGAGGCTAATTGCACTCTTTGATAACCCATTATTGGCAGGCAAGGTTCCGCACTTGAACAGAACAGTTAATACAAGGCAAACGTGCTGCTCCAACCCACTTTTAACTTTGGGGATAATTATTGAAAGCCAATGCGCTCTAGGGTCAAAGCTATGTGTTTACGTGGGGGGTGTAATTGATGCTAATGTCCTGATCAAGTGGAATTTCACAGTGGATTAACAGGGAAAAGCTGGGCTCTGCTGTTCTGCATGTGGTGGCTTCTGTTATTCCATTTGCAATGATTTATCTTCGTTAGCGGTGTGATAGGGCATGCTACATTGTTTTATGCAGAAGTCTCCGCGGGGTTATTCAAGCCTCTTCCAATCCACTACTTCCATGCTGAGCCTTCAAGGGTCAGGATTGCCAAGTAATTACATGATGAAACTGCAAAACGGCGCTGACTTCAAGAACATAAAAAGATTTATTATAGATATCACTTTTTTTCTAAATAATGTGTATCACCGTGTGTAATAAACATTTGTATCATAAACATTTAAAATTTAAAGCAACAGTGGAATGTAAACATCTGAAGGATTGAGTAACTAACAAGATCAAATGATGGAGCCATCATTAAAATATACAAATCAAAGTCTTCCATGGCCCTCTGAAGAACTAGGTCACTGCAGACGACACACCACTCGGCTCACGTTCCGGAATTGAATGAAGTGGGCCAGTTTAGTTTGAAACGGTGCTCTCATAGTAGTCAGTTTTGGTGCTTCCACCCATGTCAAAACTTCTTTTTTCACTCAGCCATAAAGAGTCAACTACTCATATATATATATATATATATATATATATATATATATACATACACACACACACACACACACACACACACACACACACACACACACATGCCAAAGGATCTTGGCTTGGTTGTTCTCAACCATCCTTGGACCATCTCTACCATCTTGAATCTGGGACCTTTAATATATACTTGGTATAAGTGTTCCAGGACACTACTCCTGCTACTTGGTTATGCCTGACTAGCTAGTATCTTACACTCTACTGTGATTTGCTGCACCATCTCTGGGGCTTCTTTGCATAGCCTACACCTGGGATCCTGTCTGATGTGGGAAATGCAGGCCTCTGTTTACCTTGTGTTTAGGGCGTGTTCTTGTGCTGCCATGATTAGCGCCTCCATGCTCGGGTTTGAATCCCGGTCAGGGCGAATGGTAATATCCAATTCGGTCCTTAGGCAAGACCCTTCTTGCTATGCGCCGATACCTCGGAAGCGTGACACAAATAATAATAGAATCATACCGGCTCGGACGTCACCTGGGTCAACAAGGTCCACGCCAACTGTTTGGGAACCAGGACACACTGGTGAGAAATGGGCTACTGAAACGAGAGTGAGACATGATGTGTTTCTTTTTTCACAATTTGTTGTCATTGTGAGATGATTCCATGAAACTGGGTGAAGTGGTATCATGCGCCCTCATTTTACAGTATGTGAATTGAATATCTGTGGGCAGGGTTTTGTTCTCTGCAAATGTCCTTGTGGATGTTTCATTCTCCTGAATTATGACCCCAATATGCCACCGTGCTACTGCTCCCTTTGTTGGCTGCTTCACAGTTACTATAGAAGCCAGCAACCATATACCATAATTTTGTTTTGTTACAGCTCGAGAATAAATAGCATCAGATACTATAATTAAGAGCCCCTGAGCACATGGGAAGTTTGAGGGGCTCAAAAGGAATGCAGAGCTTTAGTAAAAGGGCAGGACACAGATGTCTGTTTGTGTTAAGAAGGTTACGGCACTGCCTTCTGCTATGAGATACAACCGCTAATTGCCCATTGGCCGTGAGTTGGGCATGTGCAGCTGGGGACATGCACCTAAAAATATCATTGCCCGTTCCCATAAGCGGCAGGCACATGCAGCAACATTGCATTAATAGTCATTACTAATGGATGGCTTGGACAAAAAGGTGATTTTCTGGCCATGTCCTCTATGCCAGGAAAGAGACCAAAGTCACACCAGCAAGGGTTGGACAGGACAGCTTAGACTATCTCATGGAACCACCCTTCACTTGGTGGAGATGTCACATTGTCACAGCCAAGCAAGTAACATGACATCTTTTGTTTTGTGTGTGTGGCCCAGCAGTTTCCATGTTTGCTACGTCGAGACTTGAGCCCCATGCAGAGTTGGCCTGCCATGCTTGAGTTGTGTTACACCTCTGCCACTATGGAACAAAAGCTGCATCTGGTTCCACCTAAATGGAGCTTTGAATAATTGAAATGTCACATTTTTATGATACTAGCATGCTAATAATACAGATGTGACATCTGTATTTGTGCATACTGTAAGACACACAGTACAGTATGGGGATAGAATTTTCCTATGCAAATTACATTGTTATTAAATTTGTATTTTTCTTCCACTGGAATCCTTAAATCAAATGCTCTTCGAGTGTGTGTGTGTGTGTGTGTGTGTGTGTGTGTGTGTGTGTGTGTGTGTGTGTGTGTGTGTGTGTGTGTGTGTGTGAGATTAAAAATGGAGAGAAAACTGCTCCACAATATAATATGACTTAAACATGGTAGCCATCCATTTTCCCAATTCATTGATGTCGTATGACTTGTGCATATAACAAGCAAAAAAAAACATTCTCAAATAAATTGTGAAATGTTTTTTTTTTCGTCCAAGTGAATGTTAAGTAAAATGTTTAATTTGCTTCCAGAGTTAACTTTGAACTATTTTCAGTAGATACCTCAGTCTTTCGAGGCAGAATTGAAAAACATCAATGAAGGAATGTTTGCTGTTGCTGATAGATGTGTTCGTCCACTCAGACCACTTTCTGGCAAACACTCACCTGCACACTAAATTTGGGTGCAAGGCAATTTATTATTCCATTTTTTTTATTATCAGTACGATGTTGCAGCAGCAGTGAACCTTTACTGGACTGGAATGAGAATTAAAGCAAGAGCAAACGTGGTCGCGATGTAATGTACAGTATTAAACTTTACCTTGTCAGTGATAAGCAGCCTAAAAATATAGATCTGTAGTTCCTGAGAATATACAAGTGAACCATTCATTAATCTTCAACTTTGTCTCTTTTCCCCACTCCTGGCCCAGCTAAGAAATAAGGTGACACCGCTGCAGCTCCCCAGTGTACAGCGTTTGGACAACCTTTGTCTTCTACAGAACAGCAGTGCAGCCCTGAGCCTCAACCCTGAGACCCTGAGCAGCCCAAGGCTAAAACGGAGCTTACTGGTGAGCTTACTTTATGAAAGATTGATACAAGCTTATTGATGGTGGACTGGACAAGGGTCCATCCAAGGGAAAAATATAGATATAACACAAATAAAAATAACAACTGTAACCACTGTTTTTGCTTCACTTTTCAAAGAATTGACACATCAAGATGCTGATTAAAGATCATGATTTTTACACAGGCATGACCTAAAATGGTCACTATAAAATGATTCTATGCCATATGGGAATGGGGGGGGGGGCTTTGCTGCTGTACCACCAAAGTGTTATACACAGTGAAAAATAAATATTATACATCAAATATGGAAATGTTGTTGGGTGACCGCTGCTTGTACTCGTACACATTTCCACATAATGTTCCCGACACAGTCAAGCGTCAACAAGCTGGTGACATTTAGATTTTTCCATCCTTTTTTGTGTATTGACTTACGTATTTCATGATCCCTTCTTGGCTTTGTTCAATGATCTTGGCTTGAATCTGGTCCTAAATCTGTCGACTTAGTGCTATGAAATTAATTGGGCTCAATATTGTCTCCAATCATGATCATCATTGACATTGATTTTTAGACAAGGGAAAATACTCCTGCATTAGCCTCGGGAAGTCCAGACACGAATGGTAATTAAAACCTATTTTTACACTTGCTGTGGAGACCATGGTGGGAGGAGTTTCATCAGAACTACTGTACATGCTGTGAGCAATACAAGACCAATGATAGAAAGTGCATCATTAATGATGGTAAAACAGATTTTAAAAACAGTGAGCTTTATTTCTTTCTCCATCGCTCTCTGTCACTCTATTCTTTCGCAATATCAGTTTTAACTGTCTCGATGAAACACTTTACCCAAATTGTAACAATTGTGTTTATTTGAATGGGCTGGGGCACTCGTGGCCATGTTGTTGAAAAGTAATGGATGTAAACAGCTTTCCAGAAACAACATGTCCTTGTTCTCATCAGGCTTTCTTCAGGCTGCTTGCAATTCTCTTGACGTTTCCTTGACGTCTGTGCTTCAATATGAATGAGCAGAATCGATTAGACTCCAGTGTAATAATTGCAAAGTGGTGGATGCGTGCTTGTGTGTTTGTGTATTTCTCGAGCTGTGATGTGATATGAATCTGTTTGTACGGTCTCATTCATGGGACAAAAAGAGAGTTGGCATAATGGAACTAATCACATTCGTTTGAAGGTATTGTCACAATAATGATGGACCTTCGAAATTCGGGAAAAACAATTATATTTTGGCAGGTGAGCATTTTCCCAATTCTAAGATTGCATGTGGAATAGACATGAACATTAAGGCTCCCACCTGCATCTATAATGTCCATGTATGTTTTCCCCAGGCTTTAGTTCTAAGATTGCATGTGGAATAGACATGAACATTAAAGCTCCCACCTGCATCCATAATGTCCGTGTATGTTTTCCCCAGTCTTTAGAAACACCTTTTCAGCAAGACTTTCACGAGCGTCAAAGCCCTATATTTGACACTTTTACAGTGTAGCCATCATGGGTTGCATCAGCTGTGGCCTGTATGGGTGTGAGCTTAGCACCACTCACTGTGACTGTTGGCAAAAATGAGGCTGGTGTGAGTTTTATTTATAAAACCCCACCTGGTTGTTATATAACTACTTGATGATTAGTTCGTCAACATTTTGTCAGGGCTCATCTGCATCGCTTTCAAATAGACCAATGTGAATTAGAAGCCATGGTGTGATTTAAAAACACAACGATGAACTAATTAATTTCACAACAGACATTGGCTTTTTTTTTTTTTTTTGCTTCACAGCAAAAGTAATGAATAAATGAGGTGAATAATGTCGCCGATTACATCACACCAATGTGTGTAAGGAGCACTGGGACAGACTGGCTGATTAGTAAGTGCTATGAACTTCACTGCTACATCTTTACCTCGCAGTGTAAGACTAACATGAATTGAAATGGAAAGTTTGATTTAGTTTTAGCCATTTTTCCTTGATCATTTAAATTGATCTAGTTTTAGTTGACAAAATGCCATGAGGTTTTACAGTAGTTGACGAAAACTGCAGTGGAATTAGTCCAATAAAAATATGTAAAAGGTAACATATACACTTTCCCTTCAACTTCTGAAGGTCATGACGATCACCTCGATCAGATGTTCTCGAATTGTGCTAAAAGTACCACCAGTGGTATGCAGGTGATTCTTAAATCCCCAAAACGTTCAAAAAATGCAGATTAACTCTCAGTATCTGTTTTCCACAAAAACAGTGGAAAAATCAAATATGCAAATTTGCAAGTGCCAAAGTGGCAGTATGCGTGTGTGTGTTGGGGGGTGGGCAGGAATTAGTCCAATAAAAATATGTAAAAGGTAACATTTACACTTTCCCTTCATCTTCTGAAAGTCATGACGATCACCTCGATGAGAGGTTCTCAAAGTGTGCTAAAAGTACCACAAGTAATATGCAGGTGATTCTTAAATCCCCAAAACATTCAAAAATAATGCAGATTGATTCTTAATATGTTTTCCACAAAAACCGTCGAAAAATGCTTGACAAAAATATTGACAAAAATGTGAACAAAAATATGCGAGTAGGCAATTTTTCAGGTGCCAAAGTGCCAGTATGCATGTGTGTGTGTGTGTGTGTGTGTGTGTGTGTGTGTGTGTGTGTGTGTGTGTGTATATGTGTAGAGGGGCACTATATAGATACTGTATATTTTCCGCACTATAAGGCACACTTAAAAGCATCCCATTTTCTCAAAAGCCGACAGTGGGCCTTATAATCCGATGCACCTTAAATATGGATCAGTATTTTGGTTTCTTGGACATAGTATTCCAGTGCGCCTTATAATCCGATGCACCTTATATATGGATCAGTATAATGGTTTCTTGGACGTAGCATTCCAAATGATTTGTAGAGCGCTTTGTTACAGCTGCAGCGGTTGTGAAAGCTCTACATAAAAAAAGCTGTATTACATTGTATTCCATTTTGCGTAGCTCCATCTCGTGGCTGCAAATGCAACCACAGCCACTATCGTAGCTTCTATTCTATGCGCCATATAATGTGGTGCGCCCGATGTATGAAAACAGATTTAAAATAGGCCATTGATTGAAGGTGCGCCTTATACTCCGAAGCGCCTTATAGTGTGTGTTGTTATAAGGCACACTTAAAAGCATTCCATTTTCTCAAAAGCCAACAGTGCGCCTTATAATCCGATGCACCTTATATATGGATCAGTATAATGGTTTCTTGGACGTAGCATTCCAAATGATTTGTAGAGCGCTTTGTTACAGCTGCAGCGGTTGTGAAAGCTCTATATAAATAAAGCTGTATTACATTGTATTCCATTTTGTGTAGCTACGTCTGGGTTGAGAAATGACCACTGTACAACTGAGCCATGCTGCCCCAAGTCGGTTGTGATTGAAGGTGCGCCTTATACTCCGAAGCGCCTTATAGTGTGTGTTGTATTTTTTGTTGTGTTACATGCTTATCTGTCCATGAATTTCAAGATCCATTCTGGACTGCAACCGTTTGTTCAAGTTGGTTAAATGGGCTGTACAGCACTTTTCTACCTCAGGTACTCAGAGCGCATTACACTGTTACCTACTGACGACGCAGCATCAGGAGCAACTGGAGGTTCAGTGTCTTGCTCAAGGACACTTTGACATAGTTGCAATGGCTGGGGATCAAACCGCCGACGTATGGGTTGACCACTGTACAACTGAGCCATGCTGCCCCAAGTTGGTTGTATTTCTGAACACATATTGCCAGGCATTTCCCGCACCCGCCTTCAAACCGGCTGTGTAACTTTCTTAGCCACGTCATTGTGATTGGTTTTCTTGTCAACACTACAGAAGCGTGTAACAGGTAATGTGGAGTAAACATTTTTTGTCTGGCAAATACATTTGAATGTACAGCCAAACCTCGGTTTTCGTCCATAATCCGTTCCAGAAGGCTGTTCAAAAACCGAAATTGTTCGAAAACCGAAACCACGTTCTTTTTAAAATAAAAATGTTTACTGAACACGTCTGCTCACAATGGAAAGCAACACGACGAAGCGTCACTTCCTCGTGTAAGAAAGGCGAGAGGAGTCAAATGGTGCATTCAAGTGCGCTCAGTTCGTTCGAGAACCGAAATTTGTTCGTCATCCGAGGCATAAAAAACTCAAAAATTTTGGTCGAAAACCAAATTGGTTGAGAAATGAGACGTTTGAAAACCGAGGTTTGACTGTACTTGAAATTATGTTCAACCATGCTTGCAAATACGTGCGAACGTATCTGTAAATACGTTTGCACGTATGGCACATCCTGCCTTTTCAAACAAAAATTGTTCCCGATTTCTTTCCACCTTAATCTGTAGTAATCTGATCAGATGCTTCTTGAGATGAAACTGGATCAACCTGATTGGACCACACGATAATGTTGTGGCATTATCATGCCAATATTGCTACATTATTTCTTCTTGCCCTTAAGCAGCCGCAGACAAGTTCCACAGTGTGTACATCGACTGAAAAATGGTCATGACACAGTTAAAATTAAATACATGGAAGAATGATTATCGCTGGTGGAACACAATTTTAACACACAAAAGTATTAGTTTGAAAGGATTCTCTTTCAGGATTTTCTGAGGAAAGTATCATGTGAAGAAAGCTATACCCTTGTACTCTGCCTTGTACTTTTTGGTGTTGCTGAAAAAGATTTGGATACAGTCATGCATCTTGCTGTGCTGCTATGCGTGTTTTTTTTTTTTTTGCACTCCTCAGTCAGCAGGGAAATGGGCTACTCAGAACAGCAGTACTGAGGAGGGGGTGGATGGGTTGGAGGTGATGTTATTAGTTCCCTGAAGTGGAAAAATAGATGATTATGGACCCTGAAAAACTGGGCTACTGGCAGTAATTACCAATATTGCATGCTCTTACGTACTGGAGGACTGAGTGAAATGGTAATGAAAAACAGTGAAATGGGAATGAAAAACTGCATGAAACTTCTTCAGCAAGCACCATTTGCCTGCAGCTCTGTTGTCCCACGAC